TAGAAAGGAGACTATTCAAGAAGAAGGGGATTATGGGAAGGAAGAGAGAAAGGGAAGGGGCTAAGAAAATGATCAAAGAAACTTACTGTTATGTATAACTAACATGCACTAATAAAAGGCTTAAAAATAAGTGAGATTGCCTTGTCCTGGGAGAGAGGAAGAAAAAGGTGGAAACTGTCTCCAGTTCTTTGTAGAACCTTAGGGGAGGAAAGCTGCATGGGAAATCCAGGAGGTGGGGCAGTAGATTTTCATACCCAAAGGCAGGCAAGGGAGCAGTGGGGAGCTGGGGTTAATTTTTGATAGCATAAAAAGGGGACTTACTGGGTCTTCGTTTTGATTATTATGAACTTCTGCATTAATTTTGAGTTTTTAAATATTGCATTAAATTTTTATTTATTTCAACCCGGGCCTGGTGGCACATGCCTATAATCCCAGCACTTTGGGAGGCTAAGGCAGGAGGATTCTTAATAAGTTTAAGTTCTATTTGGGTAACAACACGTTCCTGCTGGCTTGAACCACCGGTACAAATAGATCTAATCACTTTTATCAGTCTTTTTACTAATAAAATTAATAAAAAGTATGGGGGCTGGGGGTTTGGCTCGGTGGTTCTGCCACCTGCCTCGTAAGCACAAGGACCCGAGTTCAATCCCCAGTATCCCCTCAAAAACTGGAATTAATTTGTGAAAGGGCCAGAGATTTAGCTCAGTGGTTGCAGCACCTGCCTCGCAAGCACAAGAACCCAAGTTCAATCCCTGGTACAAAAAATAAAAAAGTCTATAAAAGGACCAAATCTGGTGAGTTTCTTGAAACTGAGTAATTGCTGCCCAAATATAAATATTATTTAATATGACTCTACCCACAATAATCAATAAATTTATTTCATCAAAAGAAATTTATTTATATTCATGAACAGTTTATCAATAATTAATTCTCTAAATTTTAACATGGAAATCTTAAAAGCACCCCATTGCTGGTGTATATATGTTTACAAATGCTATATGACAAATTAGCTACATTACAATTTTTATACCATTTTAACATTTTCCTTGGGGAATTGTAATATGATGACATCTGGTCTGCTAACCCAATGCCTTTCTTTGCATTACTGTAGTCAAAGACCCCCTGAGAAGCAGTACAAGTCGCCCAATGGGACAATCATGCATGTACCACCAGTAGTTCAAGCTGGCAGGAATGATCCAATTCAAATCAGAGTCACCCAGCAGTGGGACATGCAAATCATACCCCTATCGTGAATCTGTTAATGAGGCCCTGTCTTAAAAATTTTAAAAGGGGAGACCTGGGGATGTAACTTCATAGTAGAATGTACCCTGGGTTTCTTCCCCAGTACCACAAAAGATACTTATTTCCACAAGTACATGAAATGATGCTGAACATCATTAATCATTAGGGAAATGTAAATCAAAGCACAAAAATACATCATCTTATCACCTTTAGGATAGTTACTGTCAAAATACAGAAAATAAAAAATGTTGGCAAGGATGTGGGACAGCTGTACATTGTTCATGGAAATGTAAAATGGTACAGCCACTATGGAGAACAGTATGATAGTTCCTCAAAAACAAATAGAAATAGAATCATGGTATATGATCTCTCCCACTTATGAGTATATACCCAAAATAATGGAAAGCAAGGTCTCAGAAAGATATCTGCACAGCCAAGATCATAGCAGAGTTATTCATAATAGCTAAAAGGTAGAAGCGACACAAATGTCCACTGGTGGATGAATGGCTAAATAAAATGTGGCATATACATAATGTGTAATATTACTCAGAAGGGAAATTCTGACTCATGCTATAGATGACTCATGAGGACAATGCTAGGTGAAATAAGCTAGTCATAGAAGGAAAGATGCTGTATGGTTCCACTTATCATGGGGTACCTAGAGTAGTTACATTCAAGGGTTCAGAAAGTAGAATGGTTGTTATGCACAAGGGAGGTCTATAATTTCAATGTATGTGTCTTCCTAAATTCATATTGAAACCTAATAATTAATAGAATGGTATTAAAAAGTGAGATCTTTGGAGAAGTAATGAATAAGAGTATTGATTAGCACTTGTTAAGTTTAGATATGAATATCTCCCAAAAGACTCATGTGTTCAGAGTTAGAGCTTTGGAAGGTAATTGGATTGCAGAGGCATTATACTCATCAGTGGGTTAATACACTGATGAGTTCGTAACTGAAGGTGCTTCTAGAAAGTAGGTTCCTGATGAAGAAGGCATGACCTGGAAGAGTCTATTATTGTCCCTGGTTCCTTTCTCCTTCTCTGCTTCCTGGCTGGTATGGGTTGAACAGCTCTTCTCCACTGTGCAATTTCTGTCTGGGAGCCAAACAATCATGGACTGAACCCTCTGAAACCATAAGTCAAAATAAACCTCTCTTTCTTAAATTGTATATAGCAAGTACTTTGTCCCAACAATGGAAAAGTGACTAATGGCAGTGATCTTACAAAAGAGGTTGAAGGAGTTCCCAGTTTTCACTATTTGGCCCTTCCATCTCTTTTGCCTCATAACAAGATAGTATTCCTTCAAAGAATGTAGCAACACAGTGCTGTCTTGGAAGCAGAGACTGGATTCTCACCAGTGTCTTAATCTTGGACTTCCCTTCTGTAATTATGAGAAATAAATTTCTAATCCTTATACATTTTATAACAGCATCACAAATGACAGGACATGGGAAGCCATTATTGAATAGTGAGTTTCAGTTTGGAAAGATGAAGAGTTCTGGAGATGAATGATGGTGAAGACTGAACAACAGTGTGAATATATTTAACACTACTGAGCTATACATTGAAAAATGGTTAAGACAGTAAATTTTATGTTATGTACATTTCATTATAATTTTAAAACTATTCTTTATCATAACTGCAGTTTGTTTTTGTTTTTTTGCATGAGGCATGGAGTCCAATTGTGTGGGTCAGTCCTACTCCGAAAGCTGATGGCCCAGAATGCAAAAAAAAGTCAATAATAGCAGGAAATTCCTTTCAGATTTCCAAGTATGTTCTCTAAGTAGTGCTTCTCTAATTCCTCACTGATAGTATCTGTGTCCTATATAACAGGATGTAAAATTATCTCCTAAGGTATCATCCCCACCCCAAATCAGAGAGTGACCTGAGAAATGGATAGTGATAAATGATTATATGATAATGCAGAGAGGGAATCAATCAGGAAAAGGTTAAAGCACTGCCACTAAAGCCTAGGTAAAGTTGGAAACCATATTTCCCAAACCAAAACAGTCTGTCTGGGAAGTTTTTGAGTGGGAAATGGAGGCTTCAAAATGTTGGCATTTCTGGGACATTGTGATGGATTGAGGAGACAAGATAGCATATTTAGGATTTGACAGTCCCACCCCCCAATTCAGGACATGTGGTCACTGAAATGGATTTAGAATAGCAAGCCACACTGAACATTTCATTCTATGAAAAATGTTGCATCTGTAATTTAATTTGTATGCTTCACAGTGCTGGAAAGACGGTAGTGGTGGAAAATGTTAGCTCTGTGACCAGATATGTTTTCTTTTATAACTCAGTTACCAAGTGCTATAATTTGAATGTGCCCCTCAAAGTTCATGTTTTGGATACCTAATCACCAATTCAAAAATATTAGAAGGTGGGACCCAGTAAGTAGGTCAAGAGGGCTCTGCTCTCATGACTAGACTGCTGTCAGTACCACAGATGTGGGTTGGTTGTTGAGAGAGTGGGCTTATTGTAAGAGCAAGTTTAGCTTTCTCTTGCTCCCTCACTTTTACACTCTTCTGCCCTTCCACTTTCCTGCATGGGTGACGAGAATGAAGGCCATTGCCTAATGGTAGCACTGTCCCTCAGACTTCCCAGCCTCCGGAACTATGAGTCAAATAAATCTCTGCTACTTATAAATTACCCAGTCTTGGTTATTCTGTTATAGCATCAGAAAACAGACTAAAAATCCATGGAACACACAGGCTGAAATTTATCCCTGTTTGCAGTAACAGGCAAGCGTCGGGATCTGGTGACATCCTACATTCTTTATCCTGATCAAATCATTGCCCCCTAGGCTTAACCTTGTAAATTACTTTGAATAGGCATGGCATATATCCTGAATTAATTTTTTTTCTTAAATTAGCATCAGTCTGGCTTATCATTTGGCATCTTCTCAAATTCTGTAGAGAGGTCCACTTCTTGATCAAAGGTGTCAGTGAGATCACCACTAGAGTCGTGGTCCAACAAGCTCTGATAGAACCTCTCCCTTGCTCTGCTCTGGGCTGCTAAGAACCAGATTCTGCCAAAGTCCTGTACCCTGGCCCAACCCCCAGCCATTATTTCCATCTGACAACCTATCAATAATGCAACTGCCTCCTACTTCCAGTCCCAGCACCCTTCCCCCAGGAGCATTGGCAACGCTGTTATGCAAATTGAGGAATTTTTTGAGAACTGCATCCTGCAGGGTTTCCCATCCTTCAGTAGTCCTTGCCTCATAATGAAGCTAGAAGTCTGATTGATAACTGAAAACAAACAGGGAAGTGGAGGTAGGCTCACTGAGGCAGGCTTTCTTAGACTTCTGCCCAGTCATTGTGGCACATCACCTAATGATAGGACAGCAGCTTCCTTCTCTGTTTCTCTCATTGTCCTTGGCATTTTAAAATTTCTTCAACTCAATAATCTTTGAATGAAAAAGATGATTCATTCAGCTTCCATTGCAGCCTAGGCCCACCCAGGGTCAGGTCCATCCACTCACTGGATCCACAAAATCACAGGAAGGATGGGAGAACTCTGGAGCTCTCTGGTGCCTCCCACTGCAGCCTCAGTGAACCCAGGCACTGACAATAAATGGGCCTGGATGCTAGGCTGACAAATTCACCACTAACATCTATTAACCACTCCATTGTACCACCTAAATAATGCACAAGTCATGATGGTGCCCACCTAATACTTTATTTCCTAACATATAGATGACCTGAAACTATAAAGATATAAACTATATTGCTCCTTTTGGATTTCAGGTACCTGGAGGGAGTTTTCCTTTCAGTTTCCTTGAATTGCAAGAAATAACACTGTCATCATCCTTTGTGGAGAAGGCAGGAAATTCTATGCACTCTGTTCTCTCTGCAAATGCATGGAATCTGGAACATAAAGGATGTTCAACATTAGACTGGTAGAGAGGCATTTGCACACAACTGCTAATTCTTCTAAAACTGGGAATGGAGCAAGAAGAAGCACCACTAGCTGTGAGCTAGGCATCTTGTGAGGATCCAGAGCATGACAGGCAGTCTAGTCACCCCTAGCCTTTTTCTGAAAAACTTGGCACCACACAGTGCACAGCTAAAACTCAGTGGCTGAATTGCAGCTCCTCCCATCTAAATTACTCCCTGGCCTCTAGCACGCGCAGGAAGAGTGTCCAGATGATCAGAGCACAGCACAAGCAAGAGAGGGGACCCCTTGCAGTTGTCATTTTCTGTCTGTCATAGTAAAGAGGAGACAGAAAGACCCTTTTTATAATTGGGGCATTCAGAAACTCAGAATCAAAGGAAAGCACCTGTTGCTAAAGGATTTCAAAGTGCTTTGAGAGCAGCCAGAGTAGTGGGCCTCTGAATCTCTAGAGGTCTTGCTACAAATGAAAATTTCTGACTGTCTTCAGACCCTAAAAGTTGGGATCCCTGAGCCTGTGGCCCTGGGATCTGCCATCAAGCTCCCTAAACAGTTTTTATCCAAAGTGGTGGGTTAAAATGCACCTTCCCAGGATCTCCTCTACTAAGTGAGGCCAATCCTAGGCTTTAGTGTGGTTAAGCAGCTCCCCAGGCAGCTGTGATGAGCTCCTACACTTGAAAACAAGTGCTTTGGGAACACATTTTACTAATTTCAGATAGGCTAACTTAGGAAAGGACTCAGTAAATCTCTTTGTCACCACAGAAGTAGGTGTTCTTCCACAGAGGACCTAACACACACACACACACACACACACACACACACACACACACTCTCTCTCTCTCTCTCTCTCTCTCTCTCTCTCTCTCTCTCT